TTACAGAACCTCAAAAGGTTGCAAGAATTTCAAGTACCAGTACGAGGCAACACAAACATTATCCATATTTATCCCAAAATAACATACAAGGAGGCATCTCATATAAAGTTTTCTTTTCCTCGGAAGAAGATGTACTTATATGTCACGATAACAGGCTTAACAGCCACACCCTTATCTCCTAATAGTGGACTTTGAAAATTTTAAGAAACCATTACATATGTTTTAAAAAAAAATATCAGCTCTACGCGGACGCCGGTGTGCGGACGCCATATGGACATCGGACACCACACTCTGCACTGCACTGTGCGGAGGAAAGTTTTTATTATTATTATTTATTTATTTATATGCTTCCTTCCTTCACATACACATTCCGCACTGTACAGAGTTTCTCTTCTTTTTTTTTTATTTTGTTGTTTCTTTCTTCACACTCCGCACTGTGCGGAGTATTATCTAAGAAATTTTTATTTTTATTTTTTTTTTTGTTGCTACTGGCAAATGATAGAAAGTCAACAATTGTAGGCATGTGGTAGGAAAAAGTTCAAATCACCTTAGGCCTTATATGAGTAGTAGAGATGGATATGGATGAATTGGAATGAAAAAAAAAAAAGGTTTCAGAAATGAACCTGCGGGCATCGACTCTTTTAATATGGTAGGGGTTAAACTCTTCAAAATCTTTTAATTCTATACAAAATTTTAAAATGAAAATCTATAAAAATAGTTATACAATTAACCTATACGAAATTTACCAAAATCCACGAAAGTATCACTTGGGAAAAAAAAATTCGATCGAAGTCTACCGAAGTCCTGGTAAACAACGCGGCAGCCATGGCGACCGAAATGCTGTGCCCGTACTGCTCCGCCGCGAAGGGACGTTGCGCCACCAGCACCAGCGGCCGTTACATAACTGAGTGCGCGACGTGCGGCCGCGTAGTGGAGGAGCGCCAAACGCAGCCCAACCATCTCTTCCATATCCGTGCACAAGACTCCCCTCTCTGTCTATCCACCTCCGACCTCCCCACCCCAATCGTCTCTCACTCCGACGACCCCTTCGAGCCAACGGGGTTCATTACTGCCTTCTCCACCTGGTCGCTCGAGCCCTACCCGATATTTGCACATTCTTCTCTTTCGTTCGCCGGTCACTTAGCTGAACTTGAAAGGGTGCTCGAAACGACGCCGCCGAATAATCCGAATTCGAACTCGGTGGTGGTGGATAATTTAAGGGCTTATTTGCAGATAATTGATGTAGCATCGATTTTGGGGCTTGATTATGATATTTCGGACCATGCGTTTCAGCTGTTTAGGGATTGTTCTTCGGCTACTTGTTTGAGGAATCGGAGCGTAGAAGCATTAGCCACTGCGGCTCTTGTGCAGGCCATTAGGGAAGCTCAAGAACCTAGAACCCTTCAGGTATTGTGAATATAATTTTGTTGCTTTAGCGTCATTGTAATTGGGTATTTCGTTCGAAACTTGTGGGAACTTTGAACATTTTCTGTGGAAATTGTAATGAATTATGCGAATTTGAGGTTCTGTGAAAGTTTTAGATGAACATTTCTATATAGGGCTGTAGAGCATTCTAAAGGATTGGTGCTGCCACCGCCAATTGTTACCACGAATTGCATCATTTAGTATTTGTGAAGTCAATATAAAAGCTTGTAGTGTAGATATCTAGATATAATATTATTAAGAAAAGGTAAAAAATCTAGATGGTACTACTTAAGAATTCAGAGAACTTTTTACATTTCTTGACTAAGAAATCCCATGATTTCGAGTGGAAGGTTCTTAGATTCAGCTGCTTTGGTCGAATTTACTGGCTATTGAATCATCAGTTCTGCATTTGGTAACACAAAGTGGGGGTATCTATTGGATTCATATGGAATCATTTAACGTGTGTACGAGGATTATTCTGTCCCCATGTGTAACATGTACTATAGAAACATTTTAGAC